GAAATACAAAATGTATATGGTAATAACCATATTTTTAGATTCAAAACTGAAAATGATGACATCATTTAGTCACCCTTCACTTGTCACAAACATGTTTCTGTTTTTTTCCTCTTCTCTTGAACACAAAAGAGCAGACTATTGAACACACTATTTGTCTTTCTAAATATATATCTTCTTTTGTGTAGCCAACAGAAGAAAGAATCTCATAAAGGTTTAAAACCACTTGAGGGTAAATAGTAAGTGAATATTCAGTTTTGGGTGAACTATTGCTTTAAAGTATATTTGTAAAAATAACCAATTCATTTTAAATCAACTGGTAAAAAAAATTGTTCTAAAATGTTATATTAAGAAAATTGTTGTTGCCACACAATCGTGATTTTTGTGCCAAATATTCAATTGCATAAATATTTGTCTTCTGTAACAGTTTTGTTTGTAGTTCTAAAATATAATAATAATAATAATAATAGTAATAATAATAATAAACATCAGAATGTTGCTAGTAAATTGTTATGATGTTTATAAAGAAATGACATTTAAAAGTGAATTGGACAGGAAGTACACAGACCAAATAGTGTTGTCTTCTTATTTTTCTTCTTCTTTCTCTTCTTCTTAATAATTAATAATAATAATAATAATAATAATAATAATATTATTATGTAGAGCTTCTTGAATCAATGTATTTTTCAGAATATTACTTTGCATCAAGTGTGTACTGTAGCTGTTTGTGAATGTTAAATATCTCAGAAGTTTTAAAAAATGTTTGACATATGATGAAAAGTGTTTGACTTTTTAGAAATGTCAGAGTGACATACTGTATGAAACAGATGAAAATGATTGTGTGATAATTTTGTATGTTTCATAATAATTTTGTCACCTTGAAATTATAGGGTCACGTCTGACGCCTGGCATTTAGTCAAAATAGAGTTATAATAGGGTAAAATAGAGTCAAACCAATCTTACGAAGATACATCCCTGCAGGCACAGGACATCAACATGACACCATATTGACGTTGTACTTCAACGTACCCCATGTCGTGGGGACATTGGATTTTGTTTAGAAATGAAAATCGGGTTGAGGTCAGAACCCAACTTTAGATCGACCTTAACATTAAACCTAAAATCAACCAAATATCAAAGTGTAATCATGTTACACCTTAATGTTGTGTGGATGTTACAACTATGACATTTATCAGATGCTGGATTTTGGTCACTTTTTAACACAACCTAAATCTACCAAATATCAATGTAATTTGAAGTCCTTATTGGACTTTAAAAAAAAATAATAACGTTGTCCTTAGACGCTGGCTAGACATAAAATTTGGATCACCAGGGGTCCGTTCTTCGTACCTCTCTTAAATTATCTAATATGATTTGGCAAATCCTGGATCTTTTAATCTTGATAACTGATCTCTGACTAATTTGGTTCTTCAAACAAGTTTGTGAATCAGATCAAAATATCTGGATGAACTGATCTGAAATCTCTGCATGTGTTGTAAAAGGACTGATCTATTGATCCTCGAAATCATGATCAGCAATATTACGACTGACTGACGGCACAGCAGCTTAATCTGATTAATATTCTATTGTCCATGTGAGCAAATATACATAAAATGCATAGTAAACAGTTTGTTAAACAAGAACTTTACATCTTTGTTGTTGGCTGCAGGGTTTACACTCTCATGTGTCAAGAGTATTTAGCAATTTATGATATTTTAGATTTAGAGCGGATTTTTTTTATTAGTAGCCTGTCCTATTCAAGTTTCTTAATCGGTGTAAGGAATATCTGTCTGTATAAATGAACTTTGCATAAAAAAAAAAAAAAAAATTTTAAATGGTAAAGGTGTCTGCAACTTTTGCAAAGCATCAAATCACCGTCATATTAGCTGTCAAAACATGTTCATGACTGCATAAATTATTTATCCTTAAAAAAAAAAGTCGAATAATGTGCATGTACACATTTGTATCTAAAAAGTCTATATTAATGAAGCTTCTCTTTGAAGCCCTTGAGGAGAACCATCTCGTGACAGTTTTTGTGCTTTTATTTCAGAGTGCACAATTTTTACACAAGTTTTATATATATATATATATATATATATATATATATATATATATATATATATATATATATATATTTTTTTTTTTATTTAAACTTAAACTGAAACTGTATATATTAGGGATGCCATGATTCTCAAAATAATATTGAACCGTTCGGTACAACATTGTTTTATGTGAGCGTGCTTGTGAATTGCATTTTTTTCCCCCTGGTTTTATGTTTAAATAATTTGTGTTCATTTTATATTTCTCAGAATTGACTGTTTGTGTGTGCCTGTATGTCTACGAGCTGAGATGGGGAAACTCCTCCCCACAAGTAAATATTCAACCCCTATGCTCTAATGCAGTGGTCACCAAACTTGTTCCCGTAGGGCCGGTGTCCAGCAGATTCTTGCTCCAACCCTGATCAAACACACCTGAACAAGCTAATCAAGGTCTTACTTGGTATACTTGAAACATCCAGGCAGGTGTGTTGAAGCAAGTTGGAGCTAAACCCTGCAGGCACACCGGCCCTCCAGGACCAGGATTGGTGACCCCTGCTCTAATGTTAGAGGGCACTTAACCATCATTCCACACTTTAACGCGGTGAAGCAAGGTAACGGTACGAGGAAGCGCCAGATTTCTCACCACCGGCGCCTTTCAAATCTGCGATGTGAGCAAATTTCGGTTTTGCCATTAAATATAATGCCAATGAAAGAAAAAAAAAAAACAATGTGAAAGCATTGTTTTACACTTATAGCATACTCACACGGAAACACTTCCAACATGATTGTACATCTGCGGCGCCATCACCCAGCAATATCACTGTCTGAAGGCAGGATAGCAGAGAAGGTAATAAAGTTCCACAAAAAGCAATCCCTCGCTTAATTGTTCCATAAAACATACCCAACTGGTTTCGAGAGACGCGGAAAAATAACAAAGGCAGTGGGGGTTATCATTGCTAAAGATTTGCAGCTGTTTTTAGTGAATGGAGGCTTTTGTCATCTTATAAAAGAACTCGGTCCGCGTTAACTTACAGACTAGCATTTCGCACTTTTTTTTCAGCACCGAGATAATTAAGATAGTTTATGTTTACTAAAGTAGAAATATGTTTAATTGAACTGGTCAATTTAAGTGTATTAACTTCACACGTTTACATTCAAAATGTAGGAATGTGTGTGTTCCCCAGTTTGTACATGGTTTACCAGCAGCTGTCAGATTTCAGTGTTTTTTCTTTATACAGTAGGAACTAGTGTACTTTTCTTGGCTTTAAAGTAAATTAAAAGAATATTGTAATAATTTTTTTTTCTCTCTTTAACCTCATACAAATCCTTTTGCCTAAGCATATAAAATAACAAATCAAAAACGAGTGTCAAGCCATTAGAGCAGAACCAAACCGAAAACAGTGTTAAAAAAACCGAAGTATGTATTGAACCGTAGGCTAACTGTATTGTTGCATCCCTTGTATGTATATATATATGTGTGTGTGTGTGTGTGTGTGTGTGTGTGTGTGTGTGTGTGTGTGTGTGTGTGTATATGTATATATATATATATATACACACACACACACACACACACACACACACACACACACACACACACACACACACAGTTGAAGTCAGAATTATTAGTCCCCTTTTGATTTTTTTTTTTTTTCTTTCTTAAATATTTCCCAACCTATGTTTAACAGAGCAAGGACATTTTCACAGCATGTCTGATATTTTTTCTTCTGAAGAAAAACTTTTTTGTTTTATTTCGACTACAATAAAAGCAGTTAATTTTTTAAACATTATATATTGAAATTGTTGTTCTTGCGTACGAGAGAGGAGAGAATACGCTACTGCCAATTGTTGCTTGTAAGAAAGAAGTCAATGCATTGCAGGCTCCCTGTAACATTCAAAATGTGCTCAACATCAGCACATTAAGTTTAAAATGATGGGTACGAAGAGCCGTGAACGCACAAGCGGCGGGATTTTTAATCTGCTCTTGAAATTGCTGCAGTATGCTGCTTTCCCTTTTTCCCACGGCCCAAGGGAAAATATCTTTATATTAAAGTGAGGCTACTGCTCTGCCCAGATCTATCTCCCAATTATTTCACTCAGGGTTTACAGCTTTAAAATCATTCTTTAAGAGAGCCTACTTCTTTATATTAGTCAGTGCTTATATATATATATATATATATATATATATATTGCCAGTAAGTTGCCAGAGTAACTCAGTTTGAACTATCGTAAATTTGATTTATGAAACTGAATCCGACAACAACTCGTGGATGAGTTTTGAAGAACGAAATGATCCTGGATCATGTCAAACCGTCAATAACCAAATCCCGCTAATTGCCCAATCAGCAAAGAACGAACCCCTAATGTCATGACCTAAATCTAACGTAATAACATCTTATGATGTTGTGTGTCTGCTGGGATAACTTTATTACGTATTGTCCGAAAATTCGTTAAAACTTCAGACAATTTAGTTTAAATGAAAATGTAAGATTTTAAAAGGAGGTGTGCCACCCAAACCCCATACTAAATCTAACCACCGTTGGGAAAGAGAAATTTGGATTAAGATGTACAAATGAGATTGTACAAAATAATACTATTTAGCCAATAGCCAAATAATAAAGGGTTACAGACTGCAATGAGAATGTCTTGGTTATTTCCATATTCTTATTTAAATGATGTGATATGTGTGTGCGTCTGTGTTTAGAAAATGTACCATTTAATTTCAAAAATTTGATCCATTTAGTTTTTCTGCTATGTGAAATGCAAAATAAAAATAATAATAATGTTTTATTTAAAACCTTATATATCGCAAACCCTCTCAGAATTCTGACTTCACTGTTAACATTTTGCATTAAAACCATACAATGCTGAAAAACAACTTTAACAACGTCCTCAATGTCTGAAAAGGTCATCGTGTTTGGCTTTCTTCCAGGCTCTTGTGATTGACTGTTGTTTTTGTTATGATAGATTCCCACGATGCAGTGCTGCGTTTCAATGCTGCTCCCTCTGAGGGCTATGAGAGAGACGTGGGCAGCAAGACAACCATCCGGATCATGAACTCTCAGGTGAGGGTCATTTACATTAATGCACACGGACATAATCCTTCGCCATCTGTCTCACTTCCTGCATGAAGATGTTTTATCATTATTAATATATATATATTTTTTGCTTTTGTTAGATTCTAGCAAACCCAAAATACAGATTCGGCAGCAGTTTGCTCTATAAGAACATCACCCTGGTAGCCTGGGACCCAGCGCCTTATAACATTGACCTGCACAAGGTATGAAAATCATAGCCGAAAATATCTGTTAGAAGAAGTGTCAAGGCATATATACCTGCAAAAGTGTGCTTGTATATTTACAAGCGTGTGTGTGTGTGTGTGTGTGTGTATATATGTATGTATGTATATTTGGAATGGTAGGATGCTTTTGGCCTTATATACAGTAGGTGACATTAATTAAAGGAGGAGGAATTATTTACAGTGATTAGACTCTGGATTCACACTTCACTGACTGAGAATTAAAATGCAAAGCGGTGGATGTTAGCAGAATGCCTGATGGTCATGATAAAGCAGCAAATTTAGAACTTCTTTAATTTATGAAAAACTGCGTCTACAATAGTGATTTTATTCGTTTATTTGTACTTTTAATGATTATAGTCTTGCAGCAGGGTTTTTTGCTTCAGATTTCTTTGACCCTTAAATACATTTATATTAATGAATGGAGACCCATCCTAAGATGTTAAAAGCGTTTGTATAATTTATGCACAGTTCAAAAGTAGGTGTAACAAATAAGTCTTAAATAATTGAAATTTTGTAGTTTCTGTTTAGTTTCATAATTATGTTATCTACCATTATAGTAATCTATTAGGGATGCTCATTTCGGTTAATTTTGCTAACCGACAACCGCCGCTCATTAATCGGTTATTAACGGTTAACTGGTCAGATTACTATTAATTTTATATTAAACAAATTGACGTGTCTATTTTGTGTCCGACAAATTAAATATTTCATTTTAAAATACTGATTTATTTTTATATGCTAGCATATTAATAACAGAACAGAACAACAGAGCATTTTCACGCAACTGTGTTTAGCACAGAAGAACAGAATAAACTAAATAAAATGAATAAAATAAATGGGACTGCCCTAAATTATTTTCCACTTAAATTATTAATTTATATTACAAATCGAAAACACTGACTGATTATTTTTAATAACCGTCATAGGCTGTTTTTTTTTTCCAATCATATGTTTTTTCTTCCGTCAAATAAAATAGCAGACTTCCTCAAATCGCTCTCTCCATGGAAAATATGCATTTATTTAATGCCCCGCTGTTATTATTATGATCACAAAACCTTTTTACATTTTTAATAGAAATCATTATTTTAAAGAATATGTCCTGATATATGGTTTCCTTTCTCTCTCTCGCGGTTCAAGTGCGCGCTGTGTGATGAAAAGACAACGCGCGCATATGTTGACTTTTTGTAAACAGTTTTGTTGTTTAAATATGATATTGCATTAATGTGCATTCATGCTTTATAAGCTGTAAAATAAAAGGTAAAGCCTATTTGTTGCATTTATGACGCAGATCCAGGTCAACATCAGCTCTTTTTTTGGCATCAACACGTCTGTTTCAAGCAATATTCTTCTTCCATTTTGCTTCTTTGGCAAATGTGTCTGTAGGCACGGGTTATACGTTATCGTACCGCAAAGTTAAGTATGTCTTGCAGTAAAACAAGTGGCCGAGCACAGCTAGCGTGCTTTTTTTCATTCCAAAAACGCGAGGCGCACCTCACTGCCTTTATGTTGACAAGGAAAAAAGAAGAGGCTCGGTCCTCTTATAAACGACTGAATCAGCTGGGTATCGATTGTGCAAAAGTGTTGCTGTCTGTGTTGTTACAATTGTAATATTTAATACTATTGTGATATTCAAGATTTGTACATTCATACAGCTCTGGATAACTTAAAACAGCGATTAGACCTTCAGAGCGGCATTAATGCGTCCTGAAGTAAAGCGAAACGGCTATAAACTCCAGCAAGATAGAGTGATTTATATACAAAGTCATACTTTATCTATAAATAAAGTAGCCTATAACTATAGAAACTGTGTTCATCTTAACTGAAAGCTTCTGCGTGTTTGCTGGCCTCACGCATCGCACACCTGTCAGTCAGTCAGTCAGCACGTAACGCCAAAGGATTAAACAGACAGCGCACAGCACTATACGGTTACAAAAATGTTTGCGCTGTTATAATCCACTTACCTTTTAATACGTTTTGATGCGTTTATAATCCGCTATTAAAAAACAACAACAATAACTGAATGTTTTGAATGGGTATGTAGCCGAGGCAGGATGCATTTTGTTCCCCGCCATGGAAGAATGAATGTAGCGGAAACCATGCTCTTTAAAAGTTCTCTGTAGTTGTCTTGACAACACAAACTGCTGCTCTGGGATGAGCCGCGTGCAAAAGTAGCTCCTATTAATGCAAAGGCGCATTCAATCGACCCCTTATGCAGCCAAACTAAAAATATAGAAAATAATCATTTTAATCGTTTAACTGATAGTATTAATCGGTCACAAACGCACCCTTTCGGTTAACGGTTAATCGATTATTTTGAGCATCCCTATAATCTATTCATCCATTTTACATACTTTATTAAATTGTTTAGGTAACACTTTGTTACATCATACGGAGGCCCGGAAGGGATGTGATGGTAGGGGGAAAAAAATAGGTGGAAGAAAAAAAAAAACAGTGATGGGGAGAAAAAAAAAAAAAAAAAAAAAAAAAAAAAATATATATATATATATATATATATATATATATATTTTTTTTTTTTTTTTTAAGTTTTTGCATTCCCTCACAAAGATGTTTTGCGTTATCTCTCAAAGGTGTTTTTCCACAAATACTTCCTGTTCACTTCATGCTTGTCAACCCTCCTGTTTTTTTGCCAGGATTCTCCTGTATTTTACCATTCTATCCCACTTTCATCCTATCATAAAGTATTTTCCCATATTTCTCGTGTAATTTTAATCTTGAAAGCATGTTGAAATTAATGTAAAAATGTCTGCATTTTTATTTATTCCATTAAAGCTGTGCATCGCTCTTCATATGCAACCTCTGACCCAGGGAATGCATGTATACGGATGGGCTCCGAATGATAAACTGATTCCAGATCAGCTTCTGTACACGCCATTTGAAGTGACACGTCTGTTATCAAACAAGTGAAGAACAACAAATGAATCCCTCCTTTTGTTTTATTTGGTTTTATTTAGTTTGGTTACAGAGGTGTCACTGTAAGAATGCAGATCTATAATGAAAGCATTCCATTACTTTAATAACTGTTTATGCTCATTTAAGAAAAATAAAACATACAGGACGGACATGTTTACATATTATTTGTCTGTTTTAACACACATCCAAATCCCAAAGTGTCCTGCACTTTACCTCCTCTTTAAATGGCTTGACCAATATGGCCAATGATCTGTATGTCAGCTTCATCCGAGTCTCTCTATATCACTGACTGCTGTTTATCTGATGTAACACAAGAGAAGCAGACATGCATTCATTTGCATTTCAAGCAACAGGCTACAAAAACAGCAACATTGTACTCAGACACCAAAATGGACAGATTCTGAAGGCTATAACAAATAATCTGATGGGTATTTTGAGCTGAAACTTTACAGACACATCCTGGAGACACCGAAGGCTTATCTTAGATCTTTTAAAAGGGGTAAAATAGATGTTCTTTAACAAGCACATAGTTTGTTTACTTATAAATATAAGGCAGCAGGTTTACTCTCTTTTTTTAAGGTAAAGTCAACAAATAGCTTTTTTTAACGCTTTAAAAATTTGAGTATTTGGGTAAATGCTGTTTAAAATCCTTCATGTTAATAAACTTATTAACATTACATATGGAATCTTATTTATAAAGTGACCAAATATTTAGTATGTTTTACACTTGTTTTCCCATTTCTACAGTGGTTCCTGCATCCTGATTATGACCTGTTTACTCCATACATAACTCACAGAAAGGCCTTCCCGGAGCAGCCCTTTTATATTCTGCATCCGTCTTTTATCTGGAAACTTTGGGATATCGTGCAGAGCATCACAGAGGAGAACATTCAACCGAACCCCCCTTCCTCCGGATTTATAGGTGAGTCACTTCGTCGATCACATTTGCAAAACAAACCGCTCAATCTACCCTCTTTTTTGATCCTCGCATGGAGGGAAATTGTTGTGCCACATGTTGCGACCGTAATTTTCGAGAGATTTGCCATGCTGTGCAGTTGACGCACATATCTGACCTTAATTTAAGCAGGATCAAATATTTCTCAGCTTCTGCTTTACGTCTTTAGCATATCTGCTGACTTACAAATGATAATCACGTCTGTTTGTGTTCGCCGTCCCTCTTGAATTAAATTCCGACTGACTGCAGGATGTGTGTGTGCAAATGTTGAAATTAGTTACTAGGTAACATCACTTTGATAGATGCCTGTTCAGGTGCATGAAACGATTATTTCAATCAGGAAGGCAGCTCGTGTGGAAACGGCACACTCCATCAAATTGGTAGAGAATTCTTACCTTGCCGTAGGCCAGTGACTGTACTGGCAGGAACAGTGCCCATGGCTGCATAGAGCAACACGCACACACTTTCTTGTTGTGTCCTTTGCAAGTTCATTTCATATTTTAAAGGTGCACTAAAGCTCCGTTCTGCACAGGGACTTTTAATTTTCAGTGCTCGATACCCTTCTTGTGAACTGTCATTCCATTATACAATCACAGTGTTTAAGATCTTAATTCTTTCAATTCAATTATCTTCACTGTGTGATTGAGACATGATATAAAGTGGGTCTCAGACAAGAAACACTGCATTAAATTCCATTGTTTCAACACTTAGGGCTTTATTCTGCCAATCTAAAAAGCAAAAGTCTAAAGCGCATGGTGGAAAAGAATTAAGGGCATGTCCCAATCCACTTTTGCTATTTTAAGGATTAAAAATACGGTTGGCGCCGCAGCACATGGTCTAAAAGGGTTTTGCTTATTTTCTTAATGGGTTATGGGTGTGTTTTGAGCAAATCGTACATTAAGTCAATCTCATTTCCCATTCCCTTGACTTACATAGTCCATGGCGGACTATGTAAGTGGAAAAACTGAACGCTTCTCTAGCGGGAAAACAGTTAAACAGACCATCTGCAACGCAAGGATATAGAATATAGAGTTTCCTCCATTCAGCCTCTTTAAATTCTCTTTACTTTACTTTTACTCATTACTTTACTCCTTTTCTTTCATGGATAAGGAAAGGTTGGAAATCCACTCTGCTGAAGACATCCATTAGCCTACATCAGTGGTTCTCAAACTTTTTTCACCAAGTACCACCTTAGAAAAAAATAGTCTCTCCAAGTACCACCTTACGACGCTATTTATTTAACTAGTATTAAAAAATAGCGTTGTAGGCCAAATTAAGCAGCTACAGGTGTGCACAGTTTAAAAACGATGCAGATTAATTCCTATTATTAAGAACATGTATTATTATCAGTCACTTTAAACATTTGAAATAGTCTGAACATTAACTGTGCTTGCAGATAAAAAAAAACGTTTTAGTTAAAATGTGCTTTTAAAAGTTCATTAAAAATGGCACTGTTCTTAAAAAGTAAAAAGAAAACTGCTGCACTTAAATCTAAAGTATTCATTGTAGCCTATTCATCAAAAGTTGGAGATGTTGCTTGGACCTTATAAATATAGGCTATATGTCATATTCATACACTTTCAGACAAATCTTGAAATATATGTTAAATGTACATATGACAGGGTTCATACAGGCACAGCCTAATGAAAATCAATTCCAGCACCTATTTTTTTTTTTTCAAGACTGACATGCTATGTATTGAAGACCTGAAAAGTATTCTCAGCAACCCATAAAACATTGCATAGGAATAGATACAAATAAAAAACATAAAAAATAATATTTATTAATCATATATTAATAATATAATGAACCTGCACTAAATGCTTGTGAAATCTTTTTTGTACTCAAGTAAAAATACTATTACGCTGCTAAAATAACACAAATTTTAGTAAATAATATTAATATTAGGTAAAAGTACAAAGTACTCTTTTAAAAAGTACTAGTTGGTTACTTTTGAAAAAAAAAAAATCAGATTTTCATTATGAAATCACTTTTTTATGTGGAAACCTGATTGAATGGTTTAATTGCTTAAATCCCAAAGCTACATGTATAGGAAATTGCACTAACAAAGAAAGTATGGTCGATTTTTCCTTTCATGACAATTAATCTTTTTCAATAGCACTGGTAAAACTACCAAATAATCTTTAAGGCCATAGAGACACTTTTTGCCCATTTTTTTAAACGATATTTACAAACTTTGAAAGGTTTAATTAAAGTATATGGTAAAAAGATTTAAATTTAGCCTTTTATTTACATATTTTACACTATTTTTCTTTACAATATGGCAAATTTGTTTCTTAAAAAGCTGTACATCACATGTAGATTTTATTTTACATTTAACCTAATCTAAAATAGAAACTTTAAAAAAAATACAAGTACACTGTCAGTAAAAAAAATTAATAAAACAAATGACTTCATTTTACTTGAGGTATTTGAAATATGACAACACTACATTTATCAAAGCAGTGCTTTAAGAGCCTTATTGTTAATTTTGATAAATAAACAATAAGTAACAACGGATTGCTTTGACCTGTAATGCTTTAAGACAGATCAGAATACAGCTAAATGTATAAATCACACATACCTTACCTTATCCAGAAACATTTCCAGCATAATTATTTTGTCATAAATAAAAAAAAAAAATAAAATACACCTTTGCTAAAAGTAAGTTTCACTTCACAACACAGCCAAATAAGAAGACCATTTGCATTGTCATCGATCATGTATCAATCTATTTCAATCTATATCAATCTAACTTTGAATACTTTTGATTACATTTATTCAAGGAACAAAGATAAATAATGTCTACTTTAATAGTGGAAAGATCGCGATTGTATTCAATCTGAGCACACAGGCGATCCTGAGAGGACATGCAGTTCTGCAACACAGAAAGCAACTAGACAAGGTCGACTGTGATTGGCTACTTTTCATGTCAGTCAAATCACGCTTCAGAATCAATTCTTAAACTTCGGAAAATGATTTATAGCAGCTTATGACACAATGCACTAAAATAAACATTCTAAGCACAGCGTTGTGATCGTACGCTTCACAAAACAGCCAATGCTGATCACATCGATGTTATATTACGCATTAAAGGATTAAAAGTGTTAATTGTTTCTTTCATTATTCAGCGGTTCCTCTGCGTACCACTAGGAGGAAACCACAGTTTGAGAACCACTGGCCTACATAATTTTGTTTAAGCGCAAAGATTTGTTTCAGAACTATTTCTAAATTCAGTTTTTATTCCCAGCAAACGAAAAAATGAGCAAAAATAACGAAGTGTGGTCAAAAAACTTACAGTGATATCCAAACATACATCCTATGCCCCATATGGTCCAAAACCGGACAGGCAAATCTAAACTTGTTTTTATTAAAACAAATATAAATATAATAAATCATAATATAATAAATAATGCTGCTAATAATAATAACATTATACAAATGCAAATGATCATAAATTAAATGAAAAAAAAATAACCTGACACAAAGAAGGCCTGGAGGCAGTGATTTTTATATTTATGTAGAAAGTATATTTTTTTGTAACATTTTAATCCTTAAATTGTTTTCATATGTAAAGATTAGGGCTGTCAAAATTAGCGCGTTAACGCACGTGATTAATTTTTAATATTTAATGCGTAAAAAAAAAAAAAAAAAAAACGCAAATAACGCAATTGCAGGTTTTTTATTTTTTATTTCCTGTTGTGGCCGACATGTGTAGGGCAGTAGAATAGTGAGTGAACCCCCTGGTCTTCACTTCATATCAGCTACACCGACCCTCTCCCTCATGGTCCTCGCTTTCATCAGCAAAAAGGTCACTTTCTATTTCACTTTCGGGTTGAGGGTGGTGTGATTGCCGTTTGCCTAGAGCAGGGGTTTTCAAACTTTTTCAGCTGAGAGCCCCTTTGTGTAGGGCGAATTCTTTTGGGGACCCCCAAAAAATAAAAATGACGCCAAAAAAAAAAAAACTCAAATTAACAACTGTACTTAAAAAAATGTTTACTTGTATTATTCAATACATTTATATTATTATATATTATTCAATAAATTTATATTATTCATTATCTGGATTAATTTTTGTAAGATGTTAGTTGAGTTGACATGGTTTCAGTGCTTCAATCTATTGATCAAATCTTCAAGCGCAGTGTTCATTGTGGTTTGCTCCCACTGGATGCCATCAAGCCATATTTTGTGTTCGAGTCATCACGTTTACACAGTTTTTTATGCCATTTTTATGCTTTTTTTCTGCCTATGCACAGCTAGACTCTTCTGTATTTACCCTTACAGCTGAAAGTCTAAATGTATCTAAAGATTTAAAGCTTTAAAGTTTTAAAGAGTTTTGTCATTCATCAGCCTGTTAACAGTTAACTGTACTGTTGTAACTAGCAATACTACAATAGAGGCTGTAGTGGTTCAGTGTGTTGAAGTTTTGTTTATTTTTATTACTTTTTTTTGTGCACATCATAATTTACTAAGGTCGGCAATCCTGACTTACACTGATAAAAAATAATTTCCTAAATGCAATCTAGAATTGGGTATTCAAGTTCAAAGAGCCACAAGTTTTACTTTGCATAATTTTAGAAGCTTTGCTGACTTTAAAATGTTCATACCAGTTTGTTCTATTAATAATAATACTGAACATTACATTTAAATTAGTTACACAAATAAATATGGGAAAAAGTGGAACATCTTGAAGAAAATGCATTTATATTCAGAGTATTAAAATTTGATCAGATATGTTGAGCTCCATTAAATAAAGAGCACTAATACATTTTAATATTTAATAATTAATTAGCCCTATAACATGACACAAACAGATACATAATAATTTTTATAGGCTATAGTGGTTTTACTCAGGGTGTATAAAATTTAGTTTTTTTAATCATTATGAACCAATGTGAGTAAGAGGTCCACTGCAGAGCTCATTCAGCTGTCATTAGTGTAACAGGAGTGAAACTCTGAGAACTCGCTGATGTGATGACAGCTCATTCATTGTTATTGCAGCACCATTTGCTTTACAATTTTAATATTTTTGTTTGCCATGCTGCAAAGAGGACAGTCTGATATTTGTGCAATGCAAAGTGTAAAAGCCTGTCGCACTGTGGACGAGGTGCAATGTTGTGGCGTGTCTTTAAAATGCTATTTGTTCCATATGAGGGAAGCCTGCGCAGAGAGGCGCGCACTCCGCAGCACCTAGCTGATCGGTTACTTAGCAACGCAAGCCATATACAGGGTGTGCTTTCAGCCACCGATAATGTTCTTATTGATCATGTATTTTAACTGAAATATTGTCAGTAAATAGACCTGAGCATTCATTTAGTTGTTTAAGCGTGAAAGAGATACGCGTAAGTGAAAGGTAAACGCTGTCAGGTGCAGCAGACAAGCGCCAAAAATCACAGGAAGTGTCCGGCCAGAAGCGGTTATTCAATAAAAGTCCCCGTGCACAGAGGCGCTGCGCTTCTTTTCCTGTGTAACGAAAGTTTCAACTGTATTTTTATGACATAAGCATAAATCTTAATTTTTGCAGTACTTTTTAGCTCAAATTATAATAAAGAAATACATTAACCTTCAGAATGATGCGGGACACAAAATTCATCCATGTGGGCCCACTGATTACCCCTCATCTAAAATTTATTTGCGGCCCCCCTAGCGCCATCTGGCAGCCCCCCAGGGGGCCGCGGCCCCTAGTTTGAAAACCCCTGGCCTAGAGCACCAGTTCGGCTTGCTCTGGCCCTGCGTGTGTTTAACGTGCAAAGAAATTTGAATACGACCAAGTACGCGCTTTTAGAAGGAAAGTTTCAGTATAAAACAATAATGTCGCATCACCAGGCTATCCTACGTTTCCTCCAGAGTTTCATTCAATTTCGGGTGTTTCATTTTTAATCTTTAGACTTTAACTGCAGTTCAGCAGTTCACTTTCATTCAGCATATTTTCATTCAGGATGTTTTAATGGAATTTGATACCGCATGGAAAACGAAAGAAAAACCTCCGCATTTCAGGACTTTAAGGTAATCAAAAATCGCTGCTTACATGGTAGACTCAGAATTATCTTAATCATAAACCGGAGTGTTGGTGTCCATGTAAATGTACTCGGTGACAATGGCAGATGAAGTCGCAAGCTGACGAAGACAGCACATTCCTCTGCCTTTAAGCTGCGTCCATGAGCCCTCACAGTTCACTTTGCTGTGTCAGAATCCTTGCTTGTAAAATACAGCCAGACTTTAGAGCGCATAGTTTAAGCAAATATGATGAACACGATCGTGCGTGTTGATGAATCTGAAGGGATCCCTCGCTCACCGGGTCTGCTGTACTGCGCGCGTTGTGTGTGTGTGTGTGTGTGTGTGTGTGTGTGTGTGCGTGCGCGTGCGCGTGCGTGCGTGCGTGCGTGTGTGGGTGTGTATTTGTGTGCGTGTGTGTAGTCCACTTAGAATCCAATTTGGAAATCATTTTTATTTGTTATTGGCATTGATTGTTTTGAAATTCAAATGGCATTTAATGCCTGTGCTTTTATTTCTGTAATAAATATATGGCGTTTTGTGATTAATCATGATTAATTACAAAAAAAGTGTGATTAATTTTTTTAAATCATTTGACAGCTCTAGTAAAGATATTTGTCTATTGCTCTACACTATGTGTGTATTAGGCAATTTCTAAGTTTTTGGACCTGCATAGATGCATAACTAATTCGGTTTGTGCATCTAGCCAGACCAGCTTTTTGTTGGTTAGTGGCGCAGTCTATTCCAGTTTCTCAAAATAGCAACGTGCAAAAACTGCACCTTAACACACCTCCTTTTTAGACCAGAACACTTATGAGTCCACAAAATGGTGCAAATGGATTTGCTATTTAAACACCGAGGCACAAAACTTGAAAATCACTGTTGCGCTGGTCTGGAAACAGCAACAAATAACGCCATAAACGTCTTGCGTCTTAATCCGCCAAGTGTATGATAGGGACACATGCTTTTAAAATTTGTTTTACCACAGTATTTTACCAAGCGCTTGACAGATATTTGAGTTTAACTCTTGTTTTATGCGTGAACAGCATGAACAGATTACATTTGAATCAATTTACATTCATGGCACGGTGGTTCAGTGATTCATGGCACAGTGACACTGTAGCCTCACAGGTTTGAGTCCCGAATAGAACAGTTGGCATTTTTGTGTGGAGTTTGCATGTTCTCCCTGTGTGGAAACCAGAGCACCCAGAGGCAACCCACACAAACAAAGTCCAAAGACATGCTAAATAGAATATGAGTGTGTGTAAATGTGAGAGTGTATGGGTGTTTCCTAGTACTGGGTTGTGGCAGGAAGGGCATCTGCTGTGAAAAACATGGTAAAATAGTTGCCGGTTCATTCTGCTGTGGCACCCCTGATAAATCAAAGACTAAGCTGGAATCTGGAGGATTCGCGAAAACAAAAACTGCAAAAACATGTAGCTCCTGGAATGTATTTGGCTCTCTCAAGAAATGTATACAGGGGTACACAATCCAAATGAGCCTGGGTTGCATGTTTGTTTTGGTGCTTTCAAATATTCAAATCATTTGATCAGCGCAGCTTTAACAAAAGAAACCACAAAAGAAGAAGCTGTTATGCTGTAATACAGCCTCATGTCACAGGCTCACTTTTATCTTAAGGGAATACAATTAAAGGGTGCTTCTTCAGCCTTATTTTTGTGAGCCAATCTCTGGATCCCTTGACAAATGTCCAATAATAAATCAAAAACAAAGGAGATCTAATACTGTACCTTCAGGTCTAGGTTTGTCTTTTGGTCATATAAACACTGGACATGTTTATAGCTGATTTGTTCTTTTCCATGAAATGGAATGTGTGCAGAGGATGATGGATGATGGGGGGATACGTTTAATCCGTTCTCCAAAACACTCAGACTAAAGAGAGCACAATATAGCAGTAATATCTGTCGTAATTGTGGAGTTTTTCCCAAACTGCTTTTTTGAGCTTGAAATAGCACTAGGATTAGCAAAGGACACAGCTTTCATATTTGGTTGAATTATTCTTTTAATATAGTTACCAAGTTTGGAGATGCCTGTCTGAAGCACTGCTGTGACTAATGGTTCCCCTGTCGCCATGCTTGATCTCCATCAGTTAATGGCGAGATTAGGAAGACTGTGTACAGAAAGAATACAAAGCAGTCATGGGTGAACAGTTTTTTTTCCAGAGCACTTTCCTTTAAATTAAAAACTTTGTCTAACATTTTATCCAGACCTGGCCTTAAAAGGATTGGGAACTTACATACAACATGAGTGCAAGCACATTCATAAGCGATGGAGAAACACACGACCTAAACATCCATTTTAACAACAATTCACTAGTGACTGTATGCACCTTTCATGGCCGTTAACATTTATCTTGACAAGTCACATACAAACACAGACGGAGGTGGTGCATGTCAGGTCAGAGAACAGTTTGTCTTCACATAGATGAGATAGAGATCACTTTGCTACAGTTCTGTTTTCAGCTTTTGATTAGTAGGCACTCCACAACACTACACAGATGACTTCTGTTGGGTCATCATTTGGGAAAGGCAAAGCTTTGTGGACTGGTTTAGCCAGAGACAGGGGTGCTGCAATCGTTTTGGAGATCGATGGAAGGGGGTGCGTTGTCAGCCACTGGGTTGCTGTAAGGCCTTCGATTAAGCTGGATGCCTGTAGTTCTTGAAGGCATTGATGACTGTCCGTTCTCTAGAGAGCTATGTTTGCAGTGAATCAAGATGAGGAAACACCTGTAAAACTGAACAAGACACTGTAAATTAGTGATCATAATTCTGAGACGCATCATGCAGAGCTATCTTTTGCTTTGAATCAATAGTTTGGAGTGCATTTTATAATAGGCACAGGGCTTTGTTACATCATTACTCTTTCAAAACGTTTTGAAAATTGAATCGTTCTCAATTCAGGTGATCTGAGTAATACCATGAATCCTACATGAATCATGGCTTCATTCAGATCGCCCTCTAGTGGTAAATCCCTGAATTTATAAGGGAATACAGCTTTTTAAAATGTCTCATTTTTAATCAACCCAGGCTCATTGGAAATACGTGCCCATGAATACAACCCCTTTCCCTAAATCCAAAAGGGGGTTGTAAGTGGTCAGTGGTGCCACCCCATAGGGTTGGGTTTTACACACACAATGCAGTCATACGCACACTACCGGTCAAAAGTATGGGGTCAGTACAATTTTTAAATGTTTTAAAATAAGCTTAACCTGCTCACCAAGACTGGTTGCACTATAAAATAACTGTTCATAAGTAGTTTATACTTTTAATAATTTTTTTTGGTGATTTTAAAGCTGATTTTTAGCCTTATTACTCCAGTTTTCAGAGTCACATGATCTTTTAGAAATCATTCTATTATTAATTATTATTTCATAGTGCAATAACATTTCACAATTATACCATACGTACTGTGTATGCAGTCTTGGTGGAGCTTATTTTAAAAACATTAAAGATCATACTGACCTAAATGTTTCACTGCTTGTGTGTTCACTGTGTGTGTGTGTGTGTGTGTGTGTGTGTGCGTGTGTGTGCGTGTGTGTGTGTGTGTGTGTGTGTGTGTGTGTGTGTGTGTGTGTGTGTGTGTGTGTGTGTGTGCATAAACATACAGTTGAAGTCAGAATTATTATTCCCCCTTTTTTTTTCTTTTTAAATATTTTTTAAATGAAGTTTAACAGAGCAAGATGATTTTCACAGTATGTCTGATACTATTTTTTCTTATGGAGAAAGTCTTATTTGTTTTATTTTAGCTAGAATTAAGTATATATATATATATAAAAAAAACCTTTTTAAGGTTAATATTTTTAGCTATATGTTTTTCCATAGTCTACAGGACAAACCAATGTTATACAATAACTTGCTTAATTACCCTAACCTGCCTAGTTAACCTAATAAACCTAGTAAAGCCTTTAAATGTCAGTTTAAGCTGTACAGAAGTGTCTTGAAAAATATCTAGTCAAATATTATTTACTGTCATCACGGCGAGGATAAAATAAATCAGTTATTAGAAATTAGTTATTAAAACTATTATGTATAGAAATGTGTTGAAAAAATCTGCTCTCCGTTAAACAGAAATTGGGGAAAAAACCTGCATATATACACAGTTGAAGTCAGAATTATTATCACCCCTGTTTATTTGTTTCCCCAATTTCCCCCAATGTCACTGAAAAGAGCTATAGAAACTGTCGTTTACATTCAGACCCATGTGCTTGTCATGTGACCACCTCTTCACAGCATCAGTAGTTTGCCCAGGGATGCCAATTAAATTCAATCTGGTCCACACAACCGTCCCTGTGCCATGACCTGAGCTGCTCCGAACAACATGAGACGCACACCATCCTGCTTCTCAAATCATGCCTGCTGGCTTTCTGTTTGTCAATACACTCTGATCACTTTGTTGCCTTGACAACCTGTAGATGTGCTCACATGACGAGCAACCCGTCTTTGGTGATTGGCTGTCCCAGAGGTGATTCTTGTTTTTTTAAATTTTTTTTTATTATTTGTGAGAATCATTTTAATAATAATAATTAAAATGATAATAAATAATAATTATTTAAAAATAATAATAAAAATAAGATAACACTTTATTATAACTGCACACTTTGAATCATTTATGAAAGGATAATTTTTTGAGATGTTGACAGTCATATATGTGTCCCACACTGCTAAAAACACTATTAGGACACAAATATTTCACTAAAAAGTAAAAACTGTTTTTTGTGCTATTTCAAGCTAATTCGTTCTTCTGGTTTAAAAATATATTTTGAAGCTACGTCATGACGATTAGATCATTGTGTAAGTTCCAGCGTGGAGACTGGACATCTGTACCAGCTTGTACAATGTGACGTCTTTGAGTTTTCGGCATTAACTCATGAGAGACTTGATTCGAAACAATCAGCAGGCTATCTTGTGTATGATGTGCAACTTAATCAATATGCATGATAGCTTCGAAGACCGTTTTTATCTGTTACAGTGTTCAGAGAGACGACACGTTGTGTTGCCAACTGTAATTCAAACAAGTAGTAGAAGAATTGTTTGAAGACAAGGGCTATCAGTGTTGTGTGTATATATATATATATATATATATATATATATATATATATATATATATATATATATGTGCCACAATGAAGGTTTTGTTTCCATTTTCCATGATGGGGGAGGACCCACATTTGTGTACTGCAGTGGTCTGCTAACACGCGACAAAATATATTTGTAAGGAACATTCTTTTTTTACCCGAGAGATTTTCGCATCTGGAATTGGTGAAATTCATTCATTCATTCATTCATTCATTCATTCATTTTCTTTTTAGCTTTGTCCCTTTATTAGTCTGGGGTAATTGCCACAGTGGGAATGTTTTACGTAGCGGATGCCCTTCCAGCTGCAACCCATCTCTGGAAAACATCCATACACACTCATTCTCATTCATACAAAACGGACAATTTAGCTTACCCAATTCACCTGTGGCGCCTGTCTGTGGACTTGTGGGGGAAACCGGAGCACCCGGAGGAAAAAGAACATGCAAATTCCACACAGAAATGCCAACTGACCCGGCTGAGGCTCGAACCAGCGACCTTCTTGCTGTGAAGCGACATTACTACCTACTGCGCCACCGCATCACCCCTTTGCCACTTCTTTTCTTTTAAAAAAAAGATGTGGTTCCAGTTGGTGTTATTTATCCTGTCTCTACAGATTTGGTAAGCGCGTGATCAGTGTTCTTTATTTATGTTTATTCATATGGCAAAGTTAGTTTGTATCATCAGCTGTACTCTTATCAGTTTTTAAAGGCATACCTTAGTCAAAATGATGTAGTTACTAAGTTTACAGTATGTTAATATCACTACAATATTATGAATTCCCTTCCTTCTTTCGCCACTCTACACTTCCACCTATCAAACTAGAGGTGTTCATTCTTAAGTGGGGGCTCTTTAAGCATTAGTGAATACTTAATTAATAATTAGTAAAGCATTAACTTTTCATTAGTAGACATAAGTGTTTAAAGCCCCTTGCACACAGTGATACCGGTAAATATCTGCAAAATTTCCGGAACGACTTTACAGGTAAGTTTAAACTCAAGCAAGGAGGTTATGGATTTTTTCCAGAAACGAGCATTCACACATCCATTCCAAAATACCGGTAAATTCAGACATCATTAACCAGAAATGAGCTCTAAACGACTGCGCTTGTATTTGTAAATGTTTGACTACATTACAAACTCTGTGGATGGATCAGTATTGTGAACAACTTAGATGAAATCATATAGAAAAAGACTTTCGCATGTCGAGATGTACATGATATGTGTGTGTGCTGGCGATAACTGGCTGCTTAATGTGCATACGCGCCAGAGCTTGAAGGTAAACAAACAGTGGTTTATCCTAAGCATTTTAGCGATATTTTTTAACCGTTGGCATTAAGAAGGGACATATAAACGTTATCTGACTAACATCTAGCAGCTAAATGTGTCTGGAAAAATATTCACAGGCTTTTATTCTCATAAACTGCCCGGACTTGAATGCTTCTAAATGTTCAGATTGGCTAAAGTAGAAGTCTTAAGTCAAGAACGCGCTCTTTCCAACAATCTTCCTTCTGCGTTCACACAGCGCCGCATTCCGTTACAACAATGTTACAACATCTCTTTCCGGAAAATAGCCGGAACGAATTTACTGGTATTTTTAAAAAGGGCCTGTTAACACAAATTGCCAGTAATTTTTCTGGAAAGGTCTGTATGTGTGAAAGGGGCTAATGTCTATTAATGTAGAGTTAATGCTTTACAAATGATCAATTAGCTATTTTGTAATGTTTAAGAAATTATTTATAGTGTACAGTTATTATAAAGTGTTATATACTGTATGATAAGAAAAAGCGGATGGCTAATTAGGAGCAATTGATTCCTGAATATTCCAGTGTCATTACTCTTTACAAATGTAATGATTTATTTTTTTTATAAAGTACAAACTCTATATTATATGCCCTAAACTTCGCTAATTGAGAGAGAGAAGGAGAGAAACATTTACACATGAATCAAGTGTATATTGTAGAAATAAACCCCCCCCCCATTCCCCCCCCCCCCCCCCCCCCTTTAAACATTTCATAGAGAGACAACAATGCTAAGGGCTAGATTATCGGAGTGTGACTGCACGACAAAGGCTTTGATGTGTGTCTGTGTCCTGCATGTGTGATCTCTGTGTATTATTTCTGATCTTGAGTGATGTCAGACTGTGTATATTGGCGGCCTGCGGTCAGATAACAGCATCTTGATGGAAAACAAAAATATAGTTCTTCAGAGGTGGCCAACAATAAACACACAGAGCTGACAGAATGCACTGTGAACTAACAGCTTATCGGATTTAACCACAAATCTTTTATTTACTCATACAAATCTGTATGACTTTATTTCTTCAGTCAATGTGCAGTACTTGTCCTTTTTTTTCTGTGAAGGAGCCTGGAGCTTTGGATTTCAAAGTCTTTAGAGCTACTATATGATGAATGTATTGTATAGGATTAAGATTTATTTGTTTATATCTTTGTATTATATCTTTACCCTTTGTGTATTACTTCGCCCACATACAGCCAGTAACAAGCAGACACTACAGTTTGACAAATATTACTGCAGTTAGACAACAAAATATACTTTTAGGGCTTTTTTAGTTGAGAATGTAGTTGTTTAGATTGCAACTATGCAGTTTATTTGCAAGAATAGTGCCTATTTTAAAATATTCACTATTTCTGAGAGCTCGTTGGCGATAGTTGACATTTTCTATCCTAAAGATGGAAACAGAACCGCATAATAAGCCCTTACGCTTAGAAAATATAACACTCTAATTTCTAACTATAGCAGATCAAATCAATATTAAACTGGTAAGCACACCTGCCAACACTTCCGTTTTTCATGGGAGTATCCCGTATTTCAGACCTGTCTCCCGCAAACATCCCCTTTTTATTTCTTTCAAAAAAAAATCTCCTGTAATTGCACCCAACCCCTCTTTGGTACAGTCTGTAAAGTAAACACCCCCGGGTTGCCAACTTTGGTACAGTACCCGAACGAAGCGGCTTCCCAAAACCTGCTGCATCCTGTTCTCAACCTCACCCCCGAACACCCCCACCCCCCGGTCTCCCGGGTTCTCAGAGACATGTTGGCAGGTTAGATGATATCTCTCTTTTTTTATGTTGTAGTGCTGTATTTATACCGATTTGCTTGCATGTGTGTTGTGTTGGCAGATTGAAATAAGCAAAGTCTGCACGTGTTTAGTGTTTTTCCTAATCGCAAACCCAACAGCAGTCTGGTAACATTAGTAGATTTGTTGTCATTTTCGTGGTTATTTATTGTGAAATACCGATTGCAACAGAGAAATACTGTAGACTGTAAAACTGTAAGAAAATTTCTCTGTAGATGGTTGGCATTTCATTTCACGTTCAGCCTTATAATCTTAAAGTGTAAGCAAAATCAGCAGTTTTGTCATCACTTTTGACAGAGTCATTCAAACACTAGCTCTAAAGTGACGTTGGTGAATTAGTAAAGGCTTCTGCTGTTTTGACGTCAGCTGCAGATGTGAATGAATGGCAGAATAAAGTAGTTCCTAATATAAAAAGTGTTTTTAGACTCTCCTTGTTTGATTTTCTTATTTATATACAGGGTTGTGATGTTGAACTGTTGTATGAACGAAATATCACACACGCAATATCACCTACGGCCTCGTGCCAACGCACGCCTCCCACCAGTGCTGATATACAGCCATATCGCACTGCTACTTAATATATATATATATATATATATATATATATATATATATATATATATATATATATATATATATATATATATATATATATATATAAATACATTAATGACGAGGTCCGAAAAGACATTAATAACATTAACATCTGTCCTAACCATATATGGTTCTGCCCTGCTCAGATCTTGTGTGCCGGATTGTGTGTGCTGAAAAGTGTAGGTCTGCAGCTGGATATTATTAGGCCAGGGGTTTGACCTGTATGCTCTTTAATGCTGATGCCATTGGCCAGATCAAGCCAATCCTCCTTCAGTCATCGTCACTATTGCTCACGTTACAAAAACAATTGCTGGACATGACAGCAGCACGGTGATATTAAATACGACCCGAGCAGACACTGAAAAGTATTAATTTAACACATTTGTGACCAATAATGGGTTTTATTTCTGTATTAGTGATTGCAATTGTGAACAAACCGTTCTTTTTAGCCAAATTATCTAAATGAACCGGTTGAACTAATTTACCAAATCAAACTGAATCATTTGAAACGATTCATGTCTGTAGTAAAGTTAAGCACTTATCCATAAACAACTAACTTTTTACATGCCTGATGCCCACATCTGACTCTAAATAAACCAATATAAAAAAAATAATTAAACTAGCGAAGAAAAATCCAAAACTGTTATAACCTTGTTATTCATTGTTAGTCCATTATAACTCCTGTGATTTTTTTTTTTTTCTCTCCCAGAATTTTTTGTTAATTAAAAAATCCAAAAGAATATGTTTTATTTTTTTTTGTAACATTATACATGTCTTTAATTTTACTTTTGATCAATTTAATGACATTGCTGAATAAAAGTTATTATTATTTTAAATTTTGACATTATTTTCTTTACCCTAAATGACTGAATAGCAGGGTAAGATGATTTTAACAAAAATTAACTAAATAAAAACAACAGTTTTCTAAATAATACCAACAAAAGTATCTTGAGAATCAAATTAGCATAATAGAGTGACTAATTAATGTTAAAAACAGTTAAAAAAAAAACATAGTTTTAATGTGTTTTCCAATAAATAAATTTAGCACAAGAGATTTTTTTCAAAAACAAGTAAGCAGTAGACCAATATAACTGACTTGGCCATCCGACCAATCAGGAGTGTGTTTTCAACATCCACTGTTTGCAAACAGCATCACAAATGTACAGCTCACAACTCTCGAACTGTGGTTAGTAGAATATTTTCCTTCTAAAATGACAAAATACTTAAATAGATCATGAACATGGCTAAAATAAGCAAGCTATGTTAGATTAGTATCTTTATCTATATCTTTCATAAAATACAATTACACATTTCATTCTGTGTTTTACTTTAAAGGTGCCATATAGAGTACTGATTCAGTTGCTTTCTGACATCTATATAGTATATTAGGGGTGTCAAAATTAATTGTTTCTTCGGTGCACCGCAATGCAGATGGGGCTAATTGGATATCGGTTCAGTAATAGATCATAACCGGTTATGGCGTATTGACGTCATTTATCTCTCATGTGCAATGTCGCAGTAGAATACTATGGCGAAGGAGGCAAAGGCGAGTAAATAAAATGCTCCTACTACTTAAATGTAGATAATTATGCATAGTTCAACTGCTTTTGAGTTTGCTGGAAAGTCTTTCGTTGAGACTGAAAAAGTCACAGCACACAAGCCGCTCTTTCACTACTAGGAAGAGATGCTGTAAAAATCCATCTCTGCCTCTCTCTCTCACGCACTTTGGAAATATGATCCGCTGCGCTGGCCTGTTCGTGAGGTAACTTTTCCTCTCCTCTTGGCTGTTGAAGCGATACTTGTGGATCCAAACACTAGCGTTCCTGAGTTGCGAGTTTCCTTCACCGCATCTATAACGAATTACCTGTGATAACCGCGTATTATGCACATATAGACTGTAACCGCAGCTGTTCTTCCCGCGTCACTCATCGGTGAACAGCGCTTTCATTTCTAAAGACAAGCGCAGCCCTATCTGTTGAGTGGGTGAAGACGATGACCAGACATAGGGGTGTAAGACAGTACTCAAAAAGGAAGCAGGATAATATCTACATTAGTTAATTTGCTAAAAATGCTCATGCTGTCTTCTGTGCATGTATTGGAGTTGTGTTTGATACATTCAAAAAAAGTGTTTTCTTTGAGCAGGTCAAATTAAAGGTACAATTCATATATCTTACTGCTTGTATTAAAAGACAATATTGTATTACAAATAATATATAATGAATAATATCTTTATAGATTTTAATAGAAAAAATCTTGTGTTCAGAAGAAAAAAAATCTAATTAGGTATGGAAAGCATCGTCAATGCACCGAGATATCGAATTGAACCAATAATCGTAACTGAACCATGAGACCAGTGTAGGTTCACACCTCTAGTAGATATGAGGTTTCATGCAAGTTAAAGAATTCTCCAGAAATGATTTTATATGCTTGATTATTACACCAGCAAATACCCCTAGAATCAGATGCTTGGCATAAACCATACAAGTAAAAGTCCCACATACACAGTAAAGTTAAAAAAAAAAGTTAGATAAACTTAAAAACAATGGGCAAGGATCATTGTTGTAATCTCACTAGAAAACATTTTGACCAATCAAACGCAGCTTGCAGCATGCATATTAATCTTTCCCTATGCAATACAAATTTAGTTTTGTTTTGATTGGACTGTTTTAACCTGGGATTTTAAACTAACGGAATTTACTTAAGAAAGAGGATACATTGCTATTTGAGGCAGATGGTATGCTATCATGATATGGCACCTTCAAAGTGCTTTCCTCTAGAGATGTGCTCTAGTTTCTCTGCAAATCCCAGGAGTTTTTTGCATGCATGTAAACCTACACTGTAAAATGCTGTTTTGAGAGTCTATTATTAGTAACATTTAATAAATTATATTATATAGCATAATATATTATAATATCTAGCTACATGCAATAGTGGTTGGACCAATCCAATCACATTATTAGATTTTACATGGTTGTAATTTCGAATGAACTTGTGAATTGTATGAAAATCTTGAGCACCACTGTAAAATATTTGCCTTGAATCTACTTTCGAAAGACTTGTATGGGCTTCTTGCTAGTCAATGTCATCTGTGTGTGTTTATTTGACAGGTATAATCCTGATGATGAACCTTTGTGAGAAGATCCATGTGTATGAGTACATTCCTTCTATGAGACAAACCGATCTGTGCCATTACCATGAGCTGCAATATGACATGGCGTGCACATTTGGGGCGTACCACCCTCTGCTTTACGAGAAACTGCTTGTCAAGCGCATGAGCACAGCTTCAGAAGAGGACCTCAGGAAAAAGGGAAAGGTCACACTGCCAGGATTCAGTAAGATCAAGTGTCTGCTGTGATTTGCAGACTCCAGCACATCTAGACTTACATGTCTTCAAATACAGTTCAATCAGAAGAAACCCCATGCCATCTACTAGGGGTTTTTATGTATATTACTTGTAGCAGTCTAAGAGTAGACTTTATAACGAGGAGAATAATAAACAGCACTCTTCAAAGACTATGTTTTAGAGATTGTACATACAAAACCAGAGTGTACAGGACAAATTCAAGGTTAAGTCTAACTCAGCAACTACATTGCTGGAATTATCAAACAGTGAATTGTACATATAAAGATCCATTTACATTTCCTGAGTGAATTGAAATTCTAGTTTTCATTTAAGTATAAGACCAGAAAAACAGTGGTCAGAGAGGACTGAATTACAGGGTTTAATTTCCCAAACGTTGCAATTTAAAAAAATAAATAAATCTCTGTCATTAACAATAATGCTGCTCATATTTTGTCTAAATCTAAAAGGATATTAAGATTTTTTTTTTTTTTCATTGTTAGTGTTAAGCGTGGTAACCTACAGTATAAACAACCCATGCTCATTCTGATTACGTACCCCTATATACATTTCTGGAGAGCGCCAAATACATCCCAAACGTTTAAGGTGTGTTCGACTTATGTGGTTTGATTAAAATCTCTCTTAAAACGGTGCATGCGGGTTGGAAATTTTGTGCGACTTAACGTTGCACTGACGCCACGTGACTGTCACATGTGGCATCAAAAGTACCACGACAGTGCTCCGCGATCAATGATTGATTGATGACTAAATTGATATTACACAATTGGCTGAGTTTACCGCATGACAACAATCACAGGTGTTTCGGGTTCATTATAGGACATCTTCTGTCTTACAAATTTCCAAACATTAAATTAAAGTGAATTGATCTCGCCATGTGCTGTTATCATGCAGCAAACTACGAGTCTCGAGGTGTCCAACCTGACTGCCTCATTTTCAGCTCTGCCCCCGCCTGTGCTCGGCTAATCTCGTTGATTGTCATCTGCCGCCGTGGTTCAAGACGAACGCACCTTTTGTTTTCTTAAATTCACCAGATGCCACTGTGTTCGCTTATTGAGATCTCAAATTTCTCTTGTGAGCTCCATTTTCGCCTGCTGTTCATAAATACACCAGAGGCCACTGTTGACTGACTCACTGACTGACCAACCGATTGATTCCGCCAACCCTCTTCCTTCCCTAACCCAACCGGGGAAAAAAAACATTGACCAGGCTTCACTCACTTCCGTAAACCCAACCGACAGTGTTTTCAAAAGCAATCTAAAGAAAGAAAAGCCCTTTTACCACATTCTCACCCTGTTGTTTACATATATCTTTTATTTTTGTTTTACCTGCCTTCTGGAACCATTCTTTGCTGGACTCGAACCCTATCGTTACAGTCCACTCTGCTCTGCATCTCAAATCCTCTGACTTACACGCTAAGCAACAAGACTAACTGGTAACAGTGGAAAAGCCATCTACACGGAGGTAAGCAGTCAGCTGGTATGTGTGAAATGAAACTGCGTCATATCGCCTCATAGCGTTTGTTTCTCTGGCTACATAATTTGTGATTTCCAGAAATGTATATAAGACTAAGTTTTCAGAATGAACCTATGTTGAGTATAAAATGAGTTGACCATTCTGAGTAAACTTTGATAAAAACGGACGGTTGACATCCGTTAGATGACCCTTATAGGTAAAACTTTTATTATAAAATAAAGTCAAGATAATTGGATTTCAGCGCAGTAGGTAGTGCTGTAGCCTCACAGCAAGAAGGTTGCTGGTTCGAGCCTCTGCTGGGTCAGTTGGCATTTCTTTTTGGATTTTGCATTTTCTCCCCATGTTCGCATGGGTTTCCTCCAGGTGCTTCGGGTTCCCCCACAAGTCCAAAGACATGAGGTACAGGTGAATTGGGTAAGCTAAAAATTTTCAGTAGTGTATGTGTGTGAATGAGTGTGTATGGATGTTTCCCAGTTATGGGTTGCAGCTGGAAGAGCATCCGCTGCGGAAAACAGATGCTGGATACGTTGGCGGTTCATTCTGCTGTGTTGAACCCAGATTAATAAAGAGACTAAGACGAAAAGAAAATGAATGAATAATTGAATTTCCATTGCAGATCAATGATCAGTATCCTTTTTAAATGTTTTGTAATTTAATTAAAATTTTTTAAATGTGAACTATTGCTGACATCTCTCTGAATGTTTAACACTGATCTTTGAGTTGTGTATTTCTAAAACAGCTAATATATTCTGACAAAGTGTTGTTTCAAGCTGTATCAAGAATTATTATGCTGTTGTTGTGTAAAGAACTTTAGGAAAGGGTTTAGTGTTATTTATACATTTGATTACATACATTTATTACAATCAGTACAGTACTTGAAATTGTTCCTTGTAAAAGCTGGTTATTTTTAATTATGGATCTAGATTTATACTTTGTAAAGACAATGAAATCAAATGGAATGTTTTGAAGAAGTTTAGTTGCATATGGTTGTTTGTCTCAGTGTATGTCATAAGTATGAAAGCTTGTTTTTGCCATGGAAAAAATGTATAAAAACCCACACAATTCTGATCGTCACAAGTTTTATGAGAGAAATTCAGAATTTAGAATGTATATTTCTTACTCTGTGTTGTTTTTACTCAGAATTGATAGATTTAAAAGTGCAATTGTGTAATATTGTATTGTAAAGTTTTAAAATTAAATGTAAAAGTTTAATTCTGAGAAGAAAAAAATCTCACAATTGTGGTGAAAAATAGCATATTACATTATGAACAAAGAATGTATTACACTATTTAAAATTCCAAGACAAATAATTGTGATAATAATAAAAATGCACAATTACCTCTTATATCAATTAATTAATTTACTTAATAATTTTGTGTCAGAAACCAGCCACCATTTAATTCCTCATGATTCAGTGCTCATTAAAAAGTTGGAAATGTCTCACCTGTTTGTTCATGAGGATGTAAATGAGAGGATTGATGACTGTGCTGCTTTTGGCAAGGAGGGATGGCACCACGCTTGCAATGGGTGAGATGATTCCTGGGCGTCCGAACGTGGCCATCATTGCAACAACTCCATAAGGCATCCAGCACAAAAGGTAGCACACCACTGTAGTGATGACCATAAATAAAATGTGGTACTCTCTCCGTCTTGCTGCTGTCTTCCTAATGCGGCCTACCTGTGGAAAAACAAAAACAATAGACTATATGTTGTTGTTTGTAGATGATTCAGAAATAGACTTTTATACAAATGCTTCATGAAGTGGTTTATGATAAAAAGTGGAAAGAAGCACTCATTGCGTACATGAATACATTGTATTGATGTTTCTAAAACTGATGAAGTGAATGTGAACACATTTAATAAAGTGCATTCTATTGAACCAGATTTATCATGTCATAGGTCTTCTTTATTATAGTGTAACAAAAACAACAATTATATTAACTGTAAAAGACATAAGTATGGCAAAAACTGTTAAAATGGTAAGTTTGTTTTTTCCATATACGTTTGGTGTCATATGGCATTAAAAACCATCAAACTGCCATTTTTTAATGAGTGAGTTTTTCATGAGTTGCAGTTTTACATTTTGCTGTGAAAAAAGCACATTGTAATTTTCTAAATTTCATGTGGCATTCCTTTATTCATTTAAATAATTTTGTTTCTTCATTTTTGTGCTTTTTACCATAAGGCAGTGGTTCCCAACCTTTTTTTTTGCCTGAGACCGTCTTTTACCCTGGAAAATATTGTAAGGCCCCTCTCCACATATAAGTTTGCAATAAAGGTGACCAAAAAATGCATGTGGCTGGTTCAGGAACACTTTGCTCTGAAAAAAAGAAATAAAATCCTAGTTCAGGTTGCTATCTTGGTATTTCCTGCATTTTGTGTTTCTGGTATTGCTAGCGCTGCAACCTGAAATGTTTGGAGCTTCTTCAGCTGGGTCCAGTATGCTTGGGTGGTTACTATTAGCTGCTGAAGTCAAATCAGTGAGACTCGGTTGTTTTTGTGAAGGACGAATTACAAATTTGTCAATTTTTTTGGTCAGCCAGGGGATAAAATGAACTCCTAGAGCTCGCCGATGCCTCCTTGTGGGCTGGGACCCTCCTGTTGGGAACCGCTGCCATATTGTTCATGTTACTTTGGTCAATTAATGTTTACTGTATTACTTTAGCATAGTATATTACATTCCAAAAACATTATTAATGCTTGTTCAAACTTCCAATATAAAATGAAATAGCAAAATTCTAGAGATTTTTTTTCAGGACAATTTAATTGTTCCATGTTCAATCCACTTAAGTTTAAGTTAACTAAATGATTTGTGTTGGCACAACATAAATGAATTTTGTACAGTGTAGTGACAGTGTTTTGTATTTGCTTGTATGAAACAAATAATAGTAATTCTCAGATTCTTTGGCAACTTTTTAAAATTTAACGCAATTTAACGCACTACGACAGCATTTAACTGTCTTCTTTCAAAAAACATAGTTGGAGTAGTTTTTAGTTTTGCTTCCATTCTGTATAAAGTGTAGTGGTTCTTTTTTTAAGCTTCAAAGAAAGCATAAACACTTTTTAAAACTGACACATTAACCAATGAAAGTGTTTTTGTAACAAAAATTGTTTTATACAATTACAATATACACTCACCGGCCACTTTATTAGGTACACCTTACTAGTACCGGGTTGGACACCCTTTTGCCTTCAGAGTTGCCTTAATCCTTCAAGGCATAAATTTAACAAAGTCTGCAAATATTCCTCAGAGATGTTGGTCCATATTGACATGATGGGGGCTATTTGAGTACAGTGAACTCATTGTCATGCTCAAGAAACTAGTCTGAGATGATTCGCGCTTTATGACATGGCGTGTTATCCTGCTCGAAGGAGCCATCAGAAGATGGGTACGCTGTGGTCATAAAGGGATGGACATGGTTAGCAACAATATGCAGATATGCTGTGGTGTTGACTCTGTTCAATTGGAAGTAATAGGCTCAACGTGTGCCAAGAAAATATGCCCCACACTATTACAGCAGCACCACCAGCCTGAACTGTTAATACAAGACAGGATGAATCCATGCTTTCATGTTGCTGATTGCAAATTCTGACCCGAAATCGAGACTCATCAGACCAGGCAACGTTTTTCCAATTTAGAAAAATTGTTTATTGTCCAACTTTGCTGAGTCTGTGCAAATTATAGCCTTAGTTTCTTGTCCTTAGCTGACAGGAGTGGAACCCAGTGTGGTCTTCTGCTGCTGTAGCCCATCTGACTCAAGGTTCAATGTGTTGTGCATTCAGAGATGCTCTTCTGCATATCTCGGTTGTAACGAGTGATTATTTGATTTACTGTTGCCTTTCTATCAGCTCAAACTAATTTGAATTGAATTTTGTATATTTAATTTTAAAATTGTACATTCATTGAAGGGTTAAAAGACTCACGTCAGCACTAGGAATACACTCACTAAAAAAATTGTTCATAATTTAAAAAAGTAACAAATATGTTACTCAAGGGTCAATTTGACCCAAATAGATTTATCTTACAATTCTAAAAATAATAATATGTGAAATATGAATTGTTTTCTCACATTATAAAGTATAGGATGTTTTCTGGTAAATGAGACATTTCTACCTACATGTAGTTTAGGCATGGAACGAGAACCATGTTCAAGGTATACCACAGTTTGGAAAAAGTCAAGGTTTTAAAACCCATCAAAATGTTCTGCTAAACCATTCCTAAATTAAGAGTAAGATATTTTATTTATTTTTTAGTAACACTTTACAATAAGGTTCATTAGTTAATACATTTACTAACATGAACTAATCATGAACAACACATGTACAGCATTTATTAATCATAATTGAACATTAGTTAATGCACCTTGAGTTAACATGAACTAACAATGAACAACTTAGTTAATTTTCATTAACTAATGTTAACTAACATGAACAAATACAGTAGTAAATGTATTTTTCATTGTTTGTTCATGTTAGTAAATGCATTAATTAACATTAACTAATGACCCTTATTGTAAATTACCTATTTTTTTTTTTTTTTTTTTTTTTTAGGACAACTGTATCTCCAGCAGAAAAGATCACCAAATAAACCATTTTAAATTGTAAAAGAAAAGTCTGTGTTTATGAAAAATAAAGACAGGAGAGGTCAATAAGTCATTTGAATTATTCAGCCTGACATGTTTACTGTTCTAATATTATAAATGTTTCCCAAATTAAAATATATTGTATACAAAGGAAAAAAGGGTTTTGTTTTTTTACCCAGACATTTGAAAATAATATATTTTAGAGCAGTAATCTCAATATTGTGATACCGTAAAACCATGATATTTATACCCGAGGTTATCATACCATCAGAATCTTATACCACCTCATGCCTAATGTAGTTATGAAATTGTCAAAATTTGCCGCAAAATGTGTTAATTTAGAGATATGAGGTAAGAATCATGAAATATCATGCATTATTATTTTCTCCACAAGTTCAGCAAAGACACCCAATGTGAGATTGAGCTGAGATAAATGAAGTGACTGTGGTAGATGCCTGACAGCTGTTCTGAGTATTTCTGATCCACTGGGATTTTGAGCCACACTCATTCCAAGGATATTTCCTTGACACTTCCTAGAAAAAAAAAATTGTCAAAAAATATATACGTACCAAATAAAAAAACAATTCCGAATGGTAGTTCTTTATCTAATATTCCATATACTGTAGATTTCCATGTCAGAGGAAAAAGGAGAAACTAGTTCTGACAGGAAAAAATAACTCAAATCACCACTCATTACAACAATACACAGAAGAGCATGTACTGTATCCATCATGCATTGATTACCAGATTCAGAGTTTATACTCACAGATATTCGACTAAATATTATATGCGCATTTGTTGCTCCGGGAAAGGGCCCTGAGCTCGGAAAGACACCCTCATGTTATTCCCCTTATCAGGATAGACAGAGAGATAGGGGTCTGAGCATAGTGTCTATCCTGGCTCCAGAACGCTCCCACCCCAGATTTAAGTAGGTATTGGGTTTAATAGTGTGGAGTTGAGGTGGTGGAGACATGCTGAAATCAAGAGAAAACAGAGATATGACTGAGTTGTTTGAGTATTTATGGGGTTTGGTCTTAAGCTGATTGGATAATAGAATGATTGTCAATAATGCATTAGCCACGTCAAAACTAATCATGCTTCTCCTGAAATTTGTTTATAAAACACCACTAAGACTGATGGTGGTGGTGTGATGGTGTGGGGAATATTTCCCTGGCACACTCGAGGCCCATTAGTGTAGCATTCGAGCATAGTTGAAACCCCAAAGCCTATCTGAGTATTGTTGCTGACCATGGCGAATCTTGTGAGGGCTCCTTCTAGCAAGATAACAAACACCGTCACAAAGCTTGAATCATCTCGAACTAGTTTCCTGTACACAACAATGTGTTTACTACTGAAATGGCTCGGCAGTCACCAGAACTCAATCAATAGAGCATATCTGATATGTGGATGTGAATCTGCAACTTAAAAATCTGCTGATGCCAACATGTCATAAATGATCTGAAAACTCTGAGGAAAGCTGCAGTCACACTGTAGTTTGAGTTTGCGAAATTCTGTTGTACGGCGCTGCAAAAAGAGGTGGGATTAAACAAGATAATTAGACATTTAAAAAAAAGCAACCGTTTGGTCTATATTTTAAATTTCTGTCCACAGAGGTCATGTTTTGATCCTCGATTGGTCTCACGCAGTAGAGTGATGCGATTTCGCAGATTTTGAGTTCACAACAATACAGCGAAGTGCGAAACTTGCCACACAAGCTTGCGTTTGCGGTCTGATACATCAGCATACGTATGAATGGAAGTCTATGGGGAGAAAAGTCCAGTGTGACCGCAGCTTAATTGTTTGTGGCATAGATTCAACAGTTTTCGGCAAACATTAAGGCATCTGAAGGCAATAAAGGGGGTCGGCTCAGTACTAGTAGAGTATACAGTACCTGAAGTGGCCAGTGCATGAGCATAGAAGGAAATGCAGTACATTTGAGTTAAACGTCAAATTTTAAAATATGTAAAATGTAGTCCAACAATCTTTTTCATTTACAACTTTAAGATTTGCCCAGTTTGCCGAAAAAGTTTGTGGTAAGCTATAATTAAAGTTTTCCGCGATTTTGCAATCGCTGAATTCAACGCAAAATCAACAAAAAGTTTCAAATTTTTGTAATGTGCAAAATTCTTAATTGCAATGCTAAATAATCTCAAAAAAGTAAATAATCTCATAAAACATTTAATTTCAAATAATATAATCAGTTTGCAATTATTGTTTTGACATTACTAATAGAGGTTGCATACACAGCTCACATGATGTATTTGAGTGTCTCTTGAAAATGGTGTCTCACTTGGATCCTCACAATCATTACATTACATGGAGGGAGAGAAAGATTGTTTTGCAGCCTGTGCAGTGAGCAGACGTGGATGAAGTACGAGTGGTTTACATGTGAAGCCATGATAAAAATTGGATTAGACATCCTTTGGTGTGAATTGGGCATTTTGTGTGTTTGACATCAGACTGCCAAAAAAAAAAAAAAAAAAAAAAAAGTGGGAGCAAACATCTAACAAACAAAGTAATGGAATTTACAGAAAAGCAAGCAGCTTACAATGATCAGTTTTAGAAGTTATATTTTTAAATATTCATGTTTTATTTATTTTATAATTCCTGCCATCTTATTGAGCTTTTAATATTGTCAAAAACACAGAACTTTCAGTTGTTATATGTAAAAAGGCCTAAATACATGCAAGACAATTGAAATATTTTGCTCGTCTCCAATGACTGACAGCAGATAACTCAATAAGAGATTGTAATGAGTGTAAATGTAATGCTTAGACCATCACTGGGCCTCTCGTGATCTGTTCTCTTGCTCATTCACTCCTGGCGCCATGAATTCCAGGTATTTTTCCAGGGATCACGGAGCTGGTATGAATATGCAGAGACTAGCGGAGCTTCCAGGAGAGGATATAAGGTTGGATGAGACACTTGATAGAGGCGATAGACTGTATAAACGGGTCACACTGCATCTGTATATATTTTAGCTGCTGTGACTCCACACATCATTTACCACCTCATGTGTTGTGGCTGCTGTAGGCTATGTAAACAGTTAAAGTCAATTATTAGTCCTCCATTGAATTTTTCTTTTTCTTTTTTTAATAATTCCCAAATGATGTTTAACAGAGCAAGGAAATTTTTAGTGTGTCTGATAATATTTTTTCTTCTGGAAAAAAATGTCTTATTAGTTTTACTTTGGCTAGAATACAAGCATTTTTTAATAATAATAATAAAAAAAAAACATTTTGTGACAAAATTATTAGCCCCTTTGAGCTAATTTTGTTCGATAGTCTACAGAACAAACCATCGTTATACAATAACTTGCCTAATTACTCTAACATGCCTAATTAACCTAATTAACCTTGTTAAGCCTTTAAATGTCACTTTAAGCTGTATATAAGTGTCTTGAAAAATATCTAGTCAAATATTATTTACTGTCATCACGGCAAAGATAGTATAATTCAGTTATTAGAAATGAGTTATTAAAACTATTATGTTTAGAAATGTGTCAAGAAAAATTTTCTCTCCGTTAAACAGAAATGAGGGGAAAAAATAAACAAGGGGGCTAATAATTCTTATAATAACGATAGTTTGTTCTGTATCTGACTATCAAAAAAAATTGTTTAAAGAGGCTAATAATTTTGACCATAAAATAGATAAAAAAAAAACAGCTTTTATTCTAGCCAAAGTAAAACAAATGAAACTTTTTTGAGAAGAAAAAATATTATCAGACATACTGTAAAAACTTCCTAGCTCTGTTAAACATCATTTGAGAAATAATTAAAAAAAGAAAAAAAATTAAAGGGGGGCTAATAATTCTGACTTCAAATGTGTGTGTGTGTGTGTGAAAAAATTAAAAAAGCAAAAATTAAACATGCACTATGTGCCTAAAGCATTTGCTCAATGTCATTAGCTCATTTTTGGCAGAGGTGCCGTTTAGCAGCTTTTGCATCTGAACTCTTCATAAAAAAATTTAATAAAATAAAATAAAAAAAATATTAATAATATATATATATATATATATATATATATATATACTGTATAAATATGAAGGATTCAGAAAGCAAAATTGTTCTCAAATTTCTGGGAATTATCATCTTCATTTTATTGCAAAAAATTGTGAAAAACTGGGAAGTATGTTTAATTAAGTGTGTTTAAATCAGGTTGGTGATATCAGTTCTTTCTAGGGATTTCAATAATAATAAGTATTATTATATTAATAATAAGAATGATTATAATATTTATTAATAATAATAACAATAATAATAATAATAATAATAAGTGCCAGAATGTTACTTTAACATAGTCAATAAAATGTACATAATGTAGTTAACATAAATGTATAGTAATAATAATAATAATAATAATAATTATTATTATTATTATTATTATTATTATTACTATTATTTTACTATAATATTTATACTTATTGAGTTTAATAAGTATTATTAATATAATTATTACTATTATTTTATGGTGAAACGGTGGCTCAGTGGTTAGCACTGTCACCTCACAGCAAGAAGGTTGCTGGTTCGAGTCCCGGCTGGGTCAGTTGGCATTTGTGTAGAGTTTGCATGCTCTCCTCATGTTCACATGGGTTTCCTGCAAGTGCTCTAGTTTCCCCCAGAGTCCAAAGACATGAGCTATAGGTGAATAGAATTAAACTAAATAGGCCGTAGTGTATGTGTGTAAATGAGTGTGTATGGGTGTTTTCCAGCACTGGGTTGCAGCTGGGTGGGCTTCCGCTGTATAAACATTAACTGGTTAAGTTGGCGGTTCATTCTGCTGTGGTGACCCCTGATGAATAAAGGGGCTAAGCCGTAGGAAAATTAAATAAAATTATTATATTATAATTATAATAATACTTAATATTACAGTATATTTATGTTCACTCTGTACATTTTATTGACCATTTTAAAGTAACATTCTGGCAGTCAACCACTGCAAGTAATTTCAAAAATCTATAGAGTTCACATTTCCCCCCACCCTTTCTACTTTAAAAGCTAGAACTTAAAAACCCAGAATTAATCTTGTTGGCTATGTTTTATAAGTTTACATCAGCAACTTTCTTTTGACCTACTTCAGCCTAATAGAGCTGACTTATAGAATTTCTGGCAGAGTGGAGAAAGTGCATCCCAGATATCGCTGGCTTCAACATCATCTGAGGTGGTTTAAACTTAATCTGGACTCTCAGACAGTTGACCTAGTTTTAGCCTGAGTCAGAGAGACATTGTTCCATAGAGGACTGGAAACTGCACTGCAGGCTATGAATAGTTGTGAGGTAAAACATGAACTCCTCTCTTTGCATAGCAATTGGTTAAATACACTGTTATATTTACTTGTGATGTGATTTTGTGACACAATTTACCTGTTTGACAGCACAGATGAGCCGACTGTAACAGTACACCATGACCAGCACAGGGATCCCTAAGCAAAAAATGAACAGGCAGATGATGTAGGAATGCGACTGGGGCGTGTTGGCAGTCCATGTCACCGAACAGCTGGTTCCTGCCCCTTCCAGTCCATAGCTGCTCCAGCCCAGCAGAGGAGGAACCGTCCAGAACAGTGAGTAGAGCCACGAGCCCCCGACTGCCAACAAGGGTTTACTGTAGTCTGGAGCCCTCTTGTTGTAAACAGTTAATGTACTGTAACGATCATACGAAAGGATTGCCAGAGAAATCAGCGATACAATCCCTGTCAAAAAAAAAAAAATAATAAAAATCAGTTTTTAAACACATGCTCATAGTTAAAATCAGAGAGAATTTACTCTTTTTGGGGGCCCTAAGTAATTACTGCTATGAGACCTAAAATGCACCAATATCTACAGTGCGTTTTAAACAACTTAGGCTCATTCTGCAAACGTAGCCTTATATATGTTTCTGGAGATCGCAAATTATGTAGCCAGAGCTACGTATGGCTGTATTTAATTTTTAAAACAAACGCTATAAGACAGTATGACGCCTTTCCTTTTCACACTTACCAGCTGACCGCTGGTACCTCAGTATGGACAGCTTTCCCGCTGTTACCAGTTTGTACAGTTTGCTCGCCATGTACAGAACGTCGGTGGACTTGAGACACAGAGTTGACCACAACTTCAACAAAGTTCGAGTGCAGCTAAGAATGGTTCCAACAAGCGGGTAAGACAAAAACAAAAGCCAATAAATAAAAAAAACAAGTAAATAAAAAAATAATTATAATAATTTAAACGCAATTACACATATTTGTCTCCCACCCCCAATCAATGAGCAGTCCAGCAGTTAAAATCAGGAAGAGTTTTAGTTTTAAAAATGATTTATTATTTTAGCTTTATTCATTTATTTTTTTGTTGTGAATTCATATTAAGAAAACAAATCATATAAAAATGTAGATATTTGGTGCATTTTAGAACTGTTGGTTGTTGAATTCTTGTTGAATTGTTTAGGGCCCCTGAGCGGCTGCTTACTTTGCTTAGTAGTTAAATCTGCACTTTGTTAAAATACAACTCTTACAAAATACAAACTACTTTTACACAAGTATTACACAGCTCTTGTTTTTTTTATATGAAAACTGTGAATACAGAGTTAAATGGAAGCAGAAGTAAACAGTCTACTACAGACTTTCATAAACATTTCATGTAAAACATAATCAGCTTTATGTATTTAGGTGCACTAAATTTGTAATCAACAGTTTCTTCTTGCTCTCATAGATTGAAATGGTAAAAGTTGTAAAATTTGGCACATAGCTGTAAGAAATTCACTCAGGTGGTACCTGTTCAAAAGGTACAAGTTTTTACCTAACATAGGATTACCATCCATCCTACACTCCAAAAAAAAAAAAATGTGTTGCTTGTTTAACCTACTTATTCAAAATGAGTTGAAACAACACAATTTTGACATTTGATTGGGTCAACTTAATTGTTGTATGTTAAATCACCTTCAATTTGTAAAAACTAATAATTTAACTAAATTCCTTCATGTTATCCCAACAAAAATCTATTGTGTGGATCCCAGCATTTTTACCATTTATTTTTCCCGGCTGCACTGTAAAAAAAGACTGGGTTCCGCATAATTGCTTAATGTTGACCCAACACTAATATATTATATAAGTTAGCTTAATAGTTTAAGTGGATTGAAAATAAAACAATTAAGTTGTCCCTCAAAAAAAAATAATAATAAATAGAAAAAAAAAATCATGGAATTTCAAAAGTAGCTGTAATTCTGCTTTTGCTCATATATATATATACCATATATATATATAAAAAAACTTTTGTTTTTTTTATTTATACAATTTCATGAATTGCATGCATTACAATGACATTTCTGTGTTATGAAAAGGTGCAAATGCTTAACATTTTAAAAATGTATAGGGGTGGGTGGATAGATCCTAATATCGATAGTATCGATACCAACGTTGGTATTGATATCGGATCAATAGTAGCTCTCCGAGATCAATACGTTTATTTGAATTTCATCTAAATAACGCTAAAGTACATCGCTCCTGTTTCCTAAAAGAGCGGACATGTCTCTAAACACCCTGCTCCTTTTATATCTCCTATGCATTGTTGCTCCTTCTTGCTCTGCTGTTAGTTGTCCTTTCATTATGTGACTGAGCAGCGCCAAAGCGCAAGCAATGTTTGGTTGTTCTGCTAGGACGGAAAAGAAGAGGAGAGCTGTTTGGAGTTAGTTTACTGCAGTAAACGAAAATATTGCAAACTGCAATGTTTGTAGAAAGTCTATTCAATACTGTGGCAACACTACAAGTCTGCACAAACACATAAAACAATGGAAAAAGAGATCGCCGAGCTGCAAAAAAAATAAAATAAAAAAAGGACAGAGGAGGAGGCAAATCCTCCAGACAGACCACCAGCAGAGTCAGAGATTAGAGATAGAGGTTTAGAGGTAGATAGCTACAGTAGTGAAATTAATATTTGAGTTATTTAGGATATTCAGTATTAGTTCATGCCAATTTGGAAAAAAAAAAAAGAAAGTTGAACTTGTTACTTTTATCATCAGGCTGATTAAATAAAGCCTGTATGGCCAGCATATATACCTTCTGTTCATATTAATTATTTTGAAATGTAAATTTTGCAGTATTGCCCATCCCTAAAAAATTATGTCATGAAACTCTATTGGGCACAGCCTAATCTGCTTGTACTACGTCATCAATTACATGGCACAGGTGATTGGTTGCTGTCGCTTCAGCAACCAATGAGCTTGCTCCTCATCATTTCAAATGCTAAGTGTTTTTGCAGTATGCACACATATGCGCAGCACGTTTTCATATCCCTACTCCCCCCAGCTCTATCTTTGCATAAAGTAGATCTGCTACAGGGTTACATGTACAGAATGTTATTCTTGCAGCAGCACTGTGTTGCAATCTCAGACAGCAGGTCTGTGAATATACTGGTAGTAGTAGGTACTGGTACTTGTTCTACGTCAAAAATCAAACCAGTAGCAGCAGAGAAGCAGATCTATACAGCCAATAACAAACACATCAACACTGCTACAATGTATTCATTATACTATATCTAATCTCTCAGAGAGATGTCATGACAGATATCATGCTATGTATAAATATCTGTAACAGTTATATGGTTGTAAAGGCATTTAAGTTTAACCATCATCACTTAGCACCCCTGATGTCCTCTATTTTTTGCAAACTGAAATATATGCTTACCCTACCTAAAGGCTCCATATTTGCTAACAAATGTGATGAGAAAAGTGAGGAAACATTAAATGAGTACTGACTGTGTTCATTATTTTACAGGCATTTTTACTATAATCATCTTCAAGTGCCTTTAATTACTCACTGCAGTTGGTCTGATCTTTCCTGCCATGCTTAACTCTTCATTTTAACATCGTTATGCTAAGCCTCTTAATTACTCCTTGCAGCTCTAATTATAATTATCATTACACCATTTATTATTTCAGCAATTTTCAAACATTTTGATGGCAAAGACAGATATGATAACTAACTCCCAAGAAATGTGAACATTTATTTTACCCCAGTATATTCAATGGAGTTTCTGCGCTAACCTGCTAATCCTGACGGCCGCATGCATGTAAACAGCTTTTCATCTTGTTTGACGCTCAAACAACTTAATGAATGCCAAAATCTATTAAACTGGTTGTATATTAATTACTTTACAACATTGATGCAAAAGAAACCATATCAAATTGAAAGAAGTCCCATTATCAAATTGAAAGAAGTCATATTAACAAAATGTTTATTTATAACACAATTCTCTTTAACCAACTGTTTATCTATGTTTATGTAAATTATTAAATGTATGAGTTAAAGAATGTTTTAGTCAAGGTCTGTCTGAGTACTTGTTTTGATTTTTACCACCTCCCTGTTTCTGTAGTTTTCAGTGTTTAGTTGGGCTGGGCGATTGAGCCTAAAATAAAAATCTCAACTGATTAAACATTTTAACTCGATTACGATTAATGAATGATTACTTCATTTATTTAGAATTTTTTTTGCCCACATAGTCACTGACAGGTTTTGTACAGTAAATGTGCCCACATATCACAAGTGAGAGATTTTTGAATGAAACACATACTATCTACTATGTAAGATTATTTATTGAACATCAAAAATGAAAAAATGAATTTAAAACACTCGTTGAATTACAATGAACAGTCACTTTTGTCTTTTAAGAAAGTGAATATAAATGATGCAATTTTGGAAACAAAATTAATTATTTTTCATATTAAAAGTAGAAGGTATATAGTACCTATAGTATGGTATGCGACCACACTAAGGCTGCGCCGGACCATACGCATGGGCTTGACGCAAAAGTATCAACCCTAGAGCGTGGTAGGGAAAGTAATTGAAAAAACTGGCCTGGAAAAATTAGATAAAATATAGGTTCTAATTGTCGATTTCGCTTTTTATTTTTTTAGTTTAATCGCCCAGCCCTAGCGTTTAGCTTCTATTTTAGTATTTCATTACCTGTTCTGCATTGCCATGTCACTATGGTTATTGATTATGTTTACGTCTGATTTTATTAGTCACTACTACTCATTATCTCTAGTATTTCATTTATTCATTCATTCATTTTCTTGTCGGCTTAGTCCCTTTATTAATCCGTGGTCACCACAGCGGAATGAACCGCCAACTTATCCAGCAAGTTATTACGCAGCAGATGCCCTTCCAGCCGCAACCCATCTCTGGGAGACATCCACACACACATTCACACACACACACTACGGGCAATTTAGCCTACCCAATTAACCTGTACCGTATGTCTTTGAACTGTGGGGGAAACCTGTGCACCCAGAGGAAACCCGCGAGAAGGCAGGGAGAACATGCAAACTCCACACAGAAACGGCGAGGTTCGAGCCAGCGACCTTCTTGCTGTGAGGTGACAGCACTACCTACTGCGTATAGCACTACCTATCTATATATATATATATATATATATATATATATAGAGAGAGAGAGAGAGAGAGAGAGAGAGAGAGAGAGAAAGAGAGAGAGAGAGAGATAGAATGGTCCTTTTGTTTGTTGTAAAGTTTGCTGCATGTCTTTGTATTCCCCACAGAGTTTGGTTTTCATTTATTGGTAATATCTTCGCAGTACAAGGAAGGGCATCTGATCTGTAAAACATATGCTAGAGTAGTTGGCGCTTGATTCTGCTGTGGCAACAGACTAAACCAAAGGAAAAAGAATGAGTTTGTTTATTCCTTCTATTTCTTTTCAGCTTAGTGCTT